CTGGGGTACAAGCCACAGGTGCAAGGGAGGTGAGAGAATTCAACAAAGACAGGGGAGCAGAAAAGGCAGATCAATGAAGTACACTGCTGAGGGGGGCAGTGGCGAAGACAGGAGAGGTCTGCTGCACCATGTGGGTCACCTCCCAGGTGGGGACTGGACTCACAATGAAGCTACTGTGGCTAACTTGCAATGCTACATCCTAACCCACTGCGTCACCTCGGAGGGCCTGTCTCTGTTTCTCTTTTTGTTCTTAGTAATTTTAAATATACAGGTCAGTTCTTTTGTACAGTGTCCTACAGTTTGGGCTTATTTAATCACATTTTAATGACTAGATTCAAGATATTCACTGGCAAGAATACTACATAAAGAATATATCTTCCAGGAAAACACATTAGGAAATTGAAAGATTTGAATCAGGGAAGGAAATGTAGTTCTATTCATTTGTGCAATTATTTATACATCATTCAAGAAAGAATCTAGTTGCTGAATCTAGTTGCTGCAGAAATATGCCACATATGCTGCCTTGTTAGGTCCTATCCTCCTGGCTAGAAACAAAAGAAGAAATCAAATTAGTTTACTAGCTAGGAGTCTTTTGTAGTACTCTTTCCTTCCAAAGTTGAGAAGGAATCCTGGTGAGGAAGGAACAGAGATAGTTGCTATTCAACAGGTGTACCTGACAAATTTTATGGCCAAATGTTTAGGGTACAGCAGAGGGAAGAATCCAAATTAAATAGGTAACTTGTAATGAATAAGGTGTCATTTTGAATTATTAAAGATATTTTATGTTGCCTTCCCCAAAAACAAATTTATATCCTTGAATTTAAAATTGTAAAATAAATGGCTGACACATATATTCCCTAACACAAGTGGATTTTTTGTTATTAATTAATCAATATCATTACTGTGCAGCCCTTTGCCTTCTCCTGCCTGTTGGAGAGAATTCTGACTAGCTCAGTTCTGGAGCATCTGTTGTTCAAAACAAGCATGGGTGATGGGAGGAATCAAGAGACTCAGACTAGCTTGATGAATTTCCTCTAGAGAATGCAGCATTATGTAGTTAGAAGGCACTTCTTGGGTTTGTATTTTAAAGGCTTGGGCAAATTATTTATCTCACCTGTACCTCAGTTTCCCCACCAGTACACTAGAGATGTTAACTACTGATCTCAGAGAGTCACTGTGATCACACAGTCGTCAATACAAGCAGCATTTAAAGTACCCAGTACATAATACAACTAATAATTTTTATATTATTAACACTGATAGGAAAGAAGTGCATAGACATCAAATGTGAAAGGCAAGAACCAGAGGACAGTGAATTTGAAAGAGTTTGGGAAATGATTAAAGGTAGCTCCACAGAACATGAGAGAGAAAGAATCCAACAGGAAGAGATAGGAATTTAAGACTACTATTGTTTGAATGGCTTCTGATCCTTTGCAATTTCTAAGCTGTCAATGAAAATGTTTTCTATTCATGTTTCAGTTGTTATGTTTGTATAGAAACAATAATTAAGGTAGAAACAGGAAGATGGGTGTTTATGGAATTATGTTTGACTACAGAAAATGTGCTCATCTGTTACCTCCACCGCAGGGTTTGGAACATTGTGACCAGCTCTTCAAAGCCCACTCAAAAGTGTCCACTTCTTCCTGGATGACATTGTTGTTGCTGATTGTTGGTGCTGAGTCTTCGTGGATGATATACTTATATGTCAGGCTGGAGCGGGTGTCGTTCTCCTGGGGTATAATCTAACATACATGTGAAATAGACAGTGAGTCATCTGAAAGGTTTAAATTTTGAAAGAAAAAATTAAAAACATTTTGGAATATTGCTTTTATTAAAATCAGAAGACTTTCAAATAGTTTCAAAAAAATATAGTGGTTTCATTTCTTTCAACCAAAGTGCTTGTGCCCTGTCTAAGAAAATGCAGATATGTAAAACTTTGACCATAAAATACATTAAAAGTATGCACACCAAGGAATTACATTATTGTAAAAATAGTAACTATTGTGATGATTTCTGATTATCCTTAGTTTACCATTCTTACAATGGGTGGCTGGATGGCTCTCCAGAATAGCTAGAGCAATTACTGCTTTTCTGAGAATACGTAAGCACCCACTCAGCATTACATGTTATTTATAATTTCCCTCTTTGTTAACTGAATGCAGAAAAGATTATTTTAATTGCTAGTTATCTGATGAAGAGTGAAGCTTTATTTTCCTAAATTTATTAGTCACTTGTATTTTTTGGCTCTACATTGCCTGTTCATGTCCTGTCCTCTTTTTTACTGGTAGAGATACATTTTTTTCCTAAGTAATCTATACAATAAGTATATAGCCCTTTACATAATAAACTATGCAAGTGCATTCTCAACTTTTATTGGCTTTTTAACTTCACTCAGAGCAAAGTACTCTGTTTATAAAAACTAAGTTTTATTGAATTCTCTAGTTTATCTAAGATTATACTGATTATATGGAGAGAGACTCATGTGCATTTCATTAGTATTCTAAACTAAATTTTTAGAAACAGCTTTTTTTTTTTTTTGAGAAATCCAATGATACTAAACCCTCTAAGGTACAGAATTTGATGATCTGGGTTCTGTTCCCTTACTCTTTATAAAAAGCATGAAAAACCAAGCCCTAACTCTTATACTACAGCTAGATAGTTAGTTCTCTCAGTTCCAGATGACCTGGATGCTGTGCTCTGGGCTCTCACCTGGGGTTCCAGCCTTTCTGAGAGGAAAGGAAAGGTCATCAAGATAGGGGACTGCATTTCCATAATCCCTGTTATAGCTACAAATCTTCTTAATCTCTAGTTCACATGGTTCCTGTGGGCAGAACCATGAGGGGGGTGTCTATCATGATGGTAAAAATGCAGAGTTTTGGGGTCAGATACCTGGGCTGCAGAAAAGAATGCAGTGTGATTATATGAAAATAAAATATATATAGTTATAACAAAGAGGGAAATTATATAATATGTAATACTGAGCAGGTGCATTTTTATATACTGTCATTATGAAAGCAGTAGTTACTCTAACTATTCTGGAGAGTCATCCAGCACTAAGAATGATAAAAAGTGTAATAAAACTTCCAATGATAAAAAGTGTAATAAAACTTCCAATCATTCAAATGTAGTGTAATCTAAAAAGATTTTGATTAATCATATTTTTGTATAAAATTACCTAACCAATGGAATAAAATCAGACTCCCAAAAGAAGCCCACATATATTTGGACTAGTTTTGACATAGAGGAAAAGGCAATTAAAAGAAAAGGATAATTTTATCAACAGTTGGTACTAAGACAATTGGACATTGTTATGGTTTTAAGAATATTTCCATCAAGAAGAGTAGTATCTGTACACTCATGTCATTGTGACAATGTGGATGAAGCTGGAAGGACTATGCCAAGCGAAATCAGTCAGAAGGAGAAAGATAACTATTGGATGGTTTCACGCATATGTAGAATATAGAGAAACCGATCAAAGGATCAGAAAAGACAAACCTTACAAGCTGACCACAGATCTGAGGCACACAGCAGAGGAAGGGGAGGGGCGTCAAAACAGGGGAGGGAAGAGCACAAGGGACAGGGACTATGGGGATGGATCACGGGAGAGAGAACTATGGGAACCACATCTGAGGAGAGCAGTCACATACTGTAAAAAATGAACAACATTTAAGAAAATGAATAAGTGCATTTTAAAGAATCTCATATATCCTGTGATGCTTTTCAATAAGTGAATCTTAATTCCTCTCCCTTTCAGTGTGGGCTGGACATAGTGACTTCCTTTTAGCAAATGGACAACCAAAGAACAAAATGGGTTGTGACACTGGAGATTAGGTAAAACAAACAGATTTCTTTCTTAGCCCTCTCACTTTCTCTGTCCCTGGAGTCACTTGGTCTACATGAAAGCCAGCTGCCGTGATAAAGACACTTAGGCAGTGTTGGAGAGACTTATAACTTATGCAGGTAATAACCCAGGTTTGCAGGCCACCACATGGAGCGAGCTTGTGTGCTGAAGCTGGGAAACAGATGCTCCTCAGTTAAGCCTCAAGCTTGACAGCTGACAGCAACCACATGAGCTACCCTGACCCAGAACTAGACATTTAAACTGCTCCCAGATACTTGACTCAAAGAAGCTATCTTGTTTCAAAGAAGCTATGAGATAATAAATATCTCTTGTGTTTAACCACTCAGTTTGAGTTAATTTTTATGCAAAATAGACAATTACTATAGACATTCATATTCAAAAATAAGAACCTGACATATACAACATTTATATAAAGACAATAAAACTATTTCATAAACCTAAATATAAAACATAACTTTTACTCCCAAAAATGAAGAAAAATATTTTGACCCTGAATTAGACAAAGAAAAAAACCTTACATAGCATCAAAATCTGATCCATAAAAGAAAAAAATTATAAACTGAATTTTAGTAAAGTCAAAATATTTTTTACTGTGATAGACAAAACTAAGAGAAGAAAAGAAACTACAGACTGGAAGAAAATATGAACAAATATTTCACATATGACATATCAAGTATTTATAAAGGAATTCTTAACACTCAACTAAAAGAAAAAAGAAGTTATACTAACAATGGTCAGAAGATTTGAATAGACACTTCACTGAAGAGAAATAATTTTCCAAAAAAAAAAAAAAAAACACTTGGAATCGAATGGGATGATTAGGTTTTAGATTAGTATATTATTTTAATAAAAGATCCAATAAATATTTGCATATAAATCCAATAATTTTTTTAAATCAATTTGGTGTCTTCTCCTTATATCCACGGTAGAGTAATAGAATTAATAGAATGCCCTATACTGACATTAAAAAGAATAAAACTGGATAGAATATATAAGAGAACATTTATTTTTATTTCTATATTTTTTGCAGGGAAGGTAATAGTAATACAGCAAAAACAAAAAAAGATCTCTGTAAGAGGAGGGCACTCCAGGCCCTGGCTTCCTCACAGAAGCTTCCTGCACAGGGAGGAGAGGAGTCTCATTACTGAGCAGGTGGAGAGTGGTGTTCACACTTCAGGCCAGAGAGGACAGTAGGCGGCAGGCATGGGGGGGGGGATGGCCCAGAATACAGGTGTCCTAGACGGAGGGCCAGTCTGTGCCCACGCGGAAGCACTGTCGTATCTGCCAGTGAGTGCTGCTGGGGGTGGGGACCCAGACTGTGACTCCTGAGGCTGAGTCTTCGGGCAGGTTAGGGTTAATTAGGCAGCTCAGGGACTGTACAGGCAGGGACTTTGGAAGAGTTAAAGAGGCTTCTGAGATAAGAGAAATGTTAGGAGCGCTAATGAGGGTAGTAAATTTTAAGGCTAATTGGGAAAGTAATTTTTTTTTCTTTTTTTTTTTGTGAAGGAAAATTTTAAGAGACTTTGGACAGGGAAAGTAAAAGGAGAAACTCCAAGAACAGAGTTGAGAAATGGGCCTATCTATTGCCCAGGGGAGGATAGCCACTGGGAGAAAGTGCCAATAACAAAATAGGGTGATGATATTGTTGGCAGAGACAAAAATGGTTTAAATATCGCCTAGACACAGACGCAGCAGTCTTCTGCCTCTCCTTGGCATCGTTGTCTTGGAGTCTTTGCTCTTGTTCTTTCTCCTGTAAATGAACTTTATTTTCTTGAAAAAAGTTTGCTTCTCTCTGTTTACTTTACTTTTCTTTTTTTTT